TAAAAGCTTTTCAATTTTATTGTATTATGCCTGATGTGACCATTGCAGTTGCCTAAGCTATAATCTCTCTTTTTACCACTATTTGGATTTTATAAATCTGTGAATTATGGAATTTGATAAAATATTGCATTAATCCATTTTTTAAGCATATATTTTACAACATACATTTTAAAACAGATTTTAAAAAAAGCCACAACCTTAGTAAAGTTAGTGTATCAAAATTTTAAAAGTTTTTTTAAAATCTTTTCCTTATAAAAATGTATTTTACAGAGTTTCAGAGAAAAGTTGTCGAACAGCTAGAAAATTTGGCAAATGAAATTAAAGACTTGAGAAAAGCAATTTAAATTATGGCTATACCAAGTTCAGAGCACATTGAAAGTGGTGAAGTTTATCTCGAAGTTATTGCTGGACCTATTCAGACCTTGAATGAGTATAGAAATTTAGAGGAGCTGTGTGGAATACTTGCAAGTAAAACAACTTTAGCAAATAAATAGCTCATATTTTTAATTTCAAGTTCAATATTTTGATATTTAAAATTTGATTATGATTTTAAAACTTTTCTTCAAAACGCATTTTCAATGTCTAGAAGATGTTTATTTTGACGTTTAAAATATGTTTTGCTTTTACTGGACAAGTAGGATTTATATTTTGATTCTAATCTGGAATTCCATATCTATTTCTTAATAATTTATTTGTAGTTTCACCTTCTTTCACAAATTGGGGGAACATCTACTAAAGATACTTTCTTAAATCTCTTGTAAAGATTTTTTCTTATTTTGCTATGTCACATTTAAGTATGGATGGAAAAGGCACACTTAATAAGCTTCCATTTAGAGACACTGCTTTATGTCAACTTAATGTTGGTAAAGTTTTAACTTTTTTAAGTTAAAACTTTACCAACATTACCAAAATCAAAATCAAAGTCATTTCTAATCTTTAATGTACTTCAAATTTTATACATTAAAACTATGGATTTATAAAGTCATTTAATAAATGATTTATAAGAATTGAATAAAAATAGTTTTTGAAGGGTATGATAGAAATCTATTATACGATGAATAGTACTTTCAAACAGCATTGCCCTATCTGACTAAATTGTTTAAATATTTTAAAAATGATTAGTAGAATATTAAAAAAGTGAAGCAATTTAAACAATTTTATAAATATATTGGTGCTCTATCCAGGGCACCTCTTGTACCACTGTTAATTTTTTGCATTTAATTTTTTTCATTCACTTGCTAAAATCTGCAGACCGTTAATCCAACATTCAGTGTTAACTTTAATACTGATTTGTTTTTAGATTGAGTAATGAAACGTGATTGTACATTATCGTTATCGGAAATACATTTATTTATTGTTTCGCATCTTAGAATGGCTTCCTTCTGTATAGGTGGAACTGGAAAAAGACATTTAAAAATTATTTAAACTCTTAAGATGAAGCTGGATTGATCAATTAAAGCAAAGATGACAAGGATCATAATGAAGAAAATTTTGATCTTGATGGCAATAATGATTATTAAAATACCATGAATATGTATTTTTGTAAAATTTAAAAATAAACAAATATTTTTTGACGCTTAATTTCTTTACAAGTATTTAAACAACGCTTGATTTTTCTTGACATTGAAGTTAAGAAACGTTAAACATTGGTTAAATTTAGACAACAATCGTTTTAGATTACTTTTTAGTACTTAGTACGATTGTTTTAACACTCATACAAAATACTAAAAAGTAATATAAAACAACCATTTAATTTATAACACTTATCCAGCTTTTAAAACAAACATTTAGATGGAGTTTAAATTGCATTTAAAACTAACTGTTTAAGTAGGGTTTAAACGGAACATTCGAATAACTTACATTCTAAATCAAAACAAAATTAAATTAAAATATTTAGTGCGAACATTATTTAAATGCTGATTAAATGTTAGTATGCCCGCAGGGATACTTCCGTATTATATTTAATAAATTAACTAACTTTGTAAACTCCAAATTTTTATCAACATTTGAAACATTCAGTTGTCATTCTTTTTCGCTTTGCATACAATTTATTTAATGCAGCAGAGAAAAAAATCCATTTTTTTGTGTAGAGGCATAACGTTTTTCCTGACTCCATTGCTTCAGTAATGAACTTAAATTAAAACTTTTCAAGAAAAATATTTTCAATGAAATACAAAATGATGTTGCACAGTTTTTAAGAAAGTATGGATTTAGATCATCAATTTCAATCGAATTGTAAATATTTAAATTTCTAGTTTCGGAAATATTAGGGCTTCACAAAAATGTGTTTGTCTTGACACTCGAGTTCAATTTTTGTTTTGATTTAACATCAAAAAAAAGTTTTTATGTTTATTTTTTATCTTACTAAATAATCAACAATTCAAATTGCATTTTCTTAATATTTATATGGTTAAATAATTTTTTACAAATTTTTTGATATTCCATTTTTTTCTCATTTATGCTTTTGTTGTTGTGCATGTATGATGTTTATCCTGAATGAGTATTTTGTATATGAGGTTTTTCAAACCATTTTGGTGCACTAATTTTTTGCTTGTTTAGTGTTTTAATAGCAATATATAACCCACATGCTTCTTCGTATATTGATAAGAATGTATCATAACATAGTTAAACACAGTCACAGGATTTGCGTAGTTGTAACCGATTTATGCTACCTATATATAAACTTAGATACTCATAATCACCTTTCGCATAATTGTAAAAGTGGTTAGAAAAAAGATAAAAAGTTTGATTTTTTTGAGTCTTATATTCCCATATTATACTACAATGTCCATGTGTAATGTTGCCGAGAGTTGATCGTGGAGATATACCTGATATTCATTTTGGCATTTCATTAAATATTAGATTGATTTTAGAAGGATCTTCTGTATTTTTATAGAATGTCTGAAAATTTACATGTTGAATAAAAAGAGAGCTATTCACAATATTAATAAAATTTGATTTAATTTTGAGACTGTTTAAATTAAATGGGTTGCCTGATAATTAAAATAGCCGGCAATCATTAGTCTATCAAATTATTTAGACAAAAGATAGGGATTAGCTTTATGGTAAGATACATAAATTCTATTGTATCTTATAGTAATTAGAGAAGTGTTAAGGTTGCCATGTGCATCGAGAATCATTGACCTATATATACTTCCTAGCAACAGTTTTTCTTTGTTAAAATTTTGAAAAAAAATTTTTGATAATTTTTTTTTGTTAAGAAATTCTTAAACAACTGCCCCCTCATTTAAAAATTGTGAGAAAGCAAATATAAGGCAAATGTTTTAAGAAATAAATAGAAATTTAAATGTTGTTTGAAAAACTTTTTTCAAACAACATTTAAATTTCGTAGATAATTTTATTGTAGCAATATTATTTAATTCAAAAATATTTTATAAATATTTTAAAAATATGAAGACTTTAAATGATTTTTAATCTGGTTTCAAAATATATTTAATTACAATGGGGGACTCTGAAATACGCAGCTGACGTAATATAATTTTCAACAATGTAAATATGGATAATGTCTCATAACAAGTCCTTTGTGTGTGTGTGTATATAACGCTTAGAGCAATTTTCATCAAGTGACTTTTTATAATTTTTTTTTCTTTTAAATTATTCTATAAGCGGTAAAAGAAAAAAAGTAATTAGTTTTATAAAAAACCACATCAAAATTTGAATAACAACTATGTAAAGAAGTTTGTTACAAAAGTTTGAATGACAATTATGTTTGATATAAGCGCTATTTACTAAGAAAAAAAAACTCAAATAAAATTAAAAACCACGAAAACTTAATTTCTAATAAGCTAATTATTGTTTTAAAATATTTAGTTACAGAAAACAAAGTTGTTTATAGTTAACAACAAATTTTTTTTGTATACATTATTAAACGAAAAGTAAAAAAAAAAAAAAAAACATAAAAAAAATTTATATAATAAAAACTTTTTTTTATTATCTTGCGAGCACTAATTAGAAATAATATTTATACAACTTTTGATTGCAATAAAAAAAGATTTACTCAAACTTTTATTTAATAGTAAATAATAAATTAATAATAAATAAAAAGTTAATTTTTATTTTATCCTTATTTTATATTATAACAATTTATTTTTTGTTTTTGTTTTTGTTTTTGTTTTTATTGTAATGATTGGGTTTTTCGCTTGAAAAACGTTCATAATTTATGCTTGAAGCAAAAGGTAATAATATATAATTTTAAAATTTAATTGATTTAATTTAAAACTTTTTATTCTGATAAAAACAAAATATTTATGTTTATTAAAATTAAAATTAATGCTTGGGTTTAACTTTAATGTAAAAATTTTTTTGAAATTTTTTTTTTTTTTTTTTTTATTTTACTTCACCTCCTCAAGGCCGAGAAGGCCACTACAAACGAGGAGGCTACTTATTTTGTGGCTATAACCCTCTTTCAACTCTATAACTCTGAAACACGAACCTTGACGAACAAGGCCGCTGCGCGGAGAAACGAGTTGAGCGCGGTACTACCAGGGACGTGGTGGGGATCGAACTCGGAACCACTCGTTTATGAAGCGAGCGCTCTACCACTACACCACTACCGCATAATATTACTAAATATTGTTCAATAATTAAATTTTATTATTTCTTAAAAAAAATTAGCTCATTTTTATTACAATTGTTATTTCAGTTTTCTTTCCTAAACATTTTTTTTTACTCAAAATTAAATTTTAAATAAAAGTGTTAAAATAAACGGCTGCATCAAAAATTTGCACAAAGCGTAAATAAAACTTTTTATCATAACGCAAGTTAAAGCATAGCAATAATTTTTTAATAAATGGTGTTTGGAAAAATAATCTTTGCTTTCAAAACAAAATCGCTCATAAAATAATAAACTTTTAATAAATAAAGTAAATAAAATAATGCAATTTATATATAAATATGTATGTATGTATGTATATATAAATATTTGTAAGTATGATTATAAAATTGTATATAGCAAATAAGTAATTAGTAAATAATCTTACAAATAAACAACAGCTATTTCTATAGCACTGGTAACAAGTAAATTGATTTCACTACTTTCACAAAGTACAGGTCGAGGCGAAACTAAAGTAAAATAAAATCTAATTTTTTTTTCACTTTTAATCTAAAATTAACTATATAAAAAAATTAACTTTTTTATATAAAAAAAAAAAAAAAAGTAATGACAATTTACTAGAAGTTTCTTCTGCGCTAGGAGATATCAACTCTTTTTCTGAAGTAAGTGTAAACAGCCTGACAGAAGTTATAGGCCCATCAATAGACATTGTCCAAATCTGAATTATTTCTAAACATTGAACATAATTTCCATATATTAAATTAAGACCAAAAAATTCTTAACTTTTTTTTACCCAATACTTATTATTTAATCAGAATTTTATATTTAAACATTCAAACTAAAATGTTTTTGAGCTTACCATTTTTTTTAGAGTCAGCATAAGCAACTCTTAAGTAGCCATTGTCACACCCAAATGCTGAAAGACGTTTAAAACCATCGCAAAGTTTTACATGCATCCAGATTACACTTTTTATATTCCAATAGTAAAGAAAAAAAAAAAGTCTTTTTATTTTCAATTGGTCAACAAAACATGATGACATAAGACTAATGATAATGAAGATTAAGGCTGGCAAAAATTATTAAAATACCTGCCCAGGTACCCATCAAACAAACAGGCGAGTACCTAGGTACCTGTTGAAAAAATAATAAACAAAATAATATTTTAAAAAATAACTATGTTTGATAACAAAGTTGTTCTTATAAACAGTCAAAACTTTTCATTCAATCATGCCATTTATTTAGAGTTGTTCTACTTTATTTATCTAAATTTTATTTAAATTTATGTCCAATTTACACAAACCCCTATTTGGTTAAGAAATACCAGCATGTCTGTTTTTGGGTGTCAAAAATGCACGCCATCGCAGGCCTTGTTTTAAAGCGTTACGCCTAGAGCGATTTACGTACGCCTTAAGCGCATTTTACGTACGCATAGAGCTGTTTTGGTTAAGCTACTTTTTATCATTTTTTAACTTTTAAATTAGCGGTAACATAAAAGAAGTAATTAATTTTAAAAAAAACCACATTAACTTTTAAATAACGATATGTAAAGGTATATATTAAAAAAAAGAATTTACTTCAAAAATAATTGTTGTAACTTTTCATCGCGATATATCTTTCCTTTTTATAGCAATTAATTTGACGCTAAACTTTTTATCCAAATATTTAGCAACATGAAAAATTGTTTGTCAATCCTTAACTACAAATTTTTTGCAATGTTTTTAATAAAAAGTAGTAATTTTTTAAAGTTTTTAGTAAAAAATTTTAAAAAATCTATATTCCATATTTATTAATACAGAATTTAAAAGTTTTTTGTAATATAAGTTTTTTATGAATTTTTTACTGAATTTATAATAAAAAACATTTGCAAAAAAATTTGTAATTAAGAATTGACATTTTTTTTAATAAAATCTCAAAAAATGTCTTAATATTTTTGTTATCATGATAACAAAAATATCAAGACATTTTTTCGAGATGTTAAAAAAAATGTCTTTGCTTTTCTGATTAGTTTAATAGTATATAGCTTATAGTTAGTTTAATTGTATATAGCTTTTCTTATTAGTTTATTAGTATATAGTTTAAGTTATGCGGGGGGAGGGGGTCGGCACAGAAAAAAAAAATTACCTGTCACTCGCAATATTTGAATGAAGACAATTCGTTAAAATTCTTCTGCGTGCGATTCAATAAGTTTTTTTTTTCATAAATCAAGTTATAATATAAGGTAAAGAAATCATGAGTAGACTACAACATCCGCTGATGACACTAATATTACGTTGAATATATTTATATAACGGAGGTTTTATTATGCACGCGCACATTACAGGTTCCGTTAAATAAATACTAAGGCACGTTTTAGTTTAATGACAGTCTCCATTTTTTACTAATGAATATGTATTTTTCTTTATAAAACAAAACAAACTAGTATATAACCTTGTATATTTCTATTCTCTCTAAATTGTTTAAAGTTCGAATATGGATTGTATTTTGAAGGACAAAAGATTTACTTTAAAAACTTTTAAATCTTGGGACTTTGCCGATGCTTTGCCGATGCGATGATCACAGAAAAAGAGAAGACTTACGTTATTAAAATCAAATGTAAGTTATGTGATCTTCATCAAAATAAAATATTATCCAAAAACAATAGTGCCGTAAGGGCAACTGCCCAACGGTTTATAAATAATACAAGTCATGTTAAAATATTTTAACATGACTTGTATATAATTATAACAATATATAATTAAAAATAAAAATATAGTTCAATAAATAAATTAAATTTATTCTTAACAAAGATTACCTCATATTTATTCTTTTTTTTATTTTATTAAGTTAAATTGCTTAAAAACGAAAAAAAAAAGAGAGTTTTGTAATTATACGTAGAATGAAAATACTTTTGAGTTTGTTTATAAGTTAAGGAACTTAATTTTTAATAAACAAATTTTTACGAACGTTTATTATAAACAGATACGATTCAAATTATTAAATATACTTAAATTATTTCAGTTGAGTATTTTTTTAAGTTTGCACGATTAAAGTTTGGCATAAAAGTATTTGTTTTTTTGTTTTAAGAATAATTAAGACTTTTATATTTAATTAAATTTTTTTTTTTAATTTCCTAAAATTAAAAAAAAAAAAGATTTAATCGTTGAAAACGATTTTTCTCTATAGCTCTGTTTCTTTGTGATTTGTTTAAAAAGTTAAACATTTTTACAATAACATAAAAAATTTATGAATGAAATTCCTAGCGAACGCGTTCTAAACTACGTATCAAAAATATGCTCAAAGCAGACAAAACTTTTTTATATTTTTATAAAACACAAGTTGAAACGCTTTTAAAAATTTAAATAATATTTAAAAACTTAAATTTTTCTTTGCTAGTCAAAACAAAATTGTTGTTTAAATAATTAACAAGAGTTTGTGTTTATCAATGTTAATATTTTTTGTTTACTCTAGAAATTTTTAAAAATAAAAAAAATCATTATTATTTTTTATTCAATAACGATTAAAAACAATTATTCAAAAACAAATTTCAGAAATAATTAATATATATATATATATATATATATATATATATATATATATATATATATATATATATATATATATATATATATATATATTTTACTAAATAATATTGAACTAAAATTAATAATAAAATAACAATTGAAAACATTACAAAATTTTCATAATAAATTTATATTTAAAACGTTTATAGTTTATATTTGAGTTAATTGTTAAATTGAACTAGTTTGCGGTTATTTATTTATTACGGTAGTTAAAACACTTAACGTCTATAAAAAAAATAAAGATAATTTTATGACGTCAAAATCGCGTTAAGCTAATGCATTAAGCACTTTTTTATTTAAAACAAGGCCTGCATCGATTGATCACATCCCATCAAACAAGAAAGCTAAATCTGATGGGACTGATATTGCAGGAATGTACTATGTACAGTGTCTGACCCAGAAACTTAAATAACATTCTGAACATTATGTGGAATTCAGAAATTCTGATGGTGATATAGAAATTTTAAGTGCAATATTTTCAAGATTTTTTTTTTACATACAAGTCACATACATACTTTTTTCACATAAAAATATTATTAAAATGTTATATAACGAATTATGATTTCAAACTTTAAAAATAAATGAATAAATTTTTAACTTATCAACTTATCAAGGGCGGGTATTCGGCTGCCTGGGTACCAATTGACAGCCTTAATCATGATGATGATATTACTGCACATCCTAATGATGATGATCATTAGGATGTGCAATAAAAATGTTCTGTAAAAATGTTCTAATATATTCTGTATCGCAATGCGCTTGTTAGATAAAGCATCTCTTGCTCGTTATTGGAATTTTTTAGTTCGCTATTGCATCTCCGTGTTCAGTTTTGCAACTTGAATAATTTTATTTTTTTTATTAAGTGGTTACATCGTCAACCGGCACAAAAAAATTATTGTTCAAAGTTAATTGGGCAGAGTAAAGTTTGTTTGGTGAGTGAAGTAAAGTATATTGGTATTAAAACAAAATTGTATTTTTAGGAAGTATATTTATGGAAATCTAATATATATCAGTAGCCGATACAATTACACATATGCTTAATTTTGTAAAATTCTTTTGCTTAACTTTTATTTATGAAATTAATACAAAAAAAAGCACTTAACTTAAAAGTGTAGATATATATATATATATTTTTGAGTACAATCAAAAAAATATATATATACACAAAAAAAGTTTATCCAACTTTACAAACCAATTTGTGATATACCTAAAGGGTATGAGCTGGCTAGAATCAAAGTGATTTATATCCATTTCTAATCAATAATTGAGTAAAAGTTTATTTAAACCACTTTGATTCTAGATAGCTAGAATCTAAGAGGTGTAAGTTCAACTTCTACTTAAAATCTCACCTAAAAAATTACGATTTTAATCAACTTATAATAATATAAATAATATAATATATGCTTATAATAATATTATTATTGTTATTATTATACTGTTTAAGTCTGTTTTAAGTGGTTTAAGTCACTTTTTAGTTGATATAAAAGTTGAAATTTTTATTTCTTAAGTATATGACAATTTAGTTTATTTTTTTTTGTTTTACATTATTAAAAGATTTTACTCTTTTTAGAGTGATAATGTAAACTTTATTCTTTAAATCTAAAAGATTTAAAGAGTTTAGATTATCACTCTAAAAATTCTCTTAAAATTCTCCTAAATTTTTTTTTTTTTAATCAGGACAAAATCTAATCTAGAGATAGTTGAGTTAAAGAACTTTATCTACAATGTTTAGATGTGAAAATTATTATTTTCCAGTAATTTAAATATGAATTTCTTTTTTTCTTTTTTTTATTTATGAATATGTTAAAAATATAGATGGTATTTATAGATTATAGATAATTTTTTATAAAATTATAGATTTTTTTAAACAATAAAAATATAATTTCAAAGAGTTTAAGTTATATTTACAACAGATGCGATGTTTTTTCATCAGTTGTTATTTTCATAAATATAAAGAATTGATAAAAAAAAATTATCTTTTTCTCTAGTATTATTTTTATATGTATTTTTATAAGTAATATGTCTGACAAAAACTTTTTATCATACTCCAACATAATTATCTTTTGTTTCTTCAAAAGATAATGATGCCTATAATAAAATTAAAGACATTAAATAGTTTTTCCATATTTACAATAGTTTAGTTTAAATGTTAAAGTCAATTTATTTGGCATGTTTAATCAAAACTATTCAATAAAGTCAGTTAAAAAATTAACAAAGTTTCTCAAATATATCACTTAATTTATTTTTAGATCTAGGCTTTTTCTTTCTTTTTTTTTCCATTTGATATTGGTGGTAAAAATAGCACTTTTTAATAAACTTTTTAACCGCCTTATCATCAAGTCCTTAGCGATGCTAAGAACTTCTGATGATAAGACCTTAATAAAACAAAAATTTTATTAAGTTGTT